ACATAGCAAAAAGCTGATAAGAGTGGTGCAGTTGATGTATTTTTGTAGACCAACCCATAAATGATCGGTCCCTAAGCTTTTGTGGCCAAAACACATTTATAATACTCAACACGTTTTGTTCACCAGGATAAGCTCCACACATGAACGCCACTTTTCGAGTTTTGAAGCGAAAAATGCAATCCCCAGAATATAAAAGCTTACGCTAGGATATAAACAAACTACATCCCGGTTGCATGGTCGGCATCACCACGCTAAGCTAAAAGCGGTCTTGTCTCGATGTGATGACGTTTCGTAGTCTCTTTTATTCTTTCTTAGCAACCGCCGTTTTTATGATACATATAAGCTTAGGATATTCACAAGTTGGGTATTTACTGAAGTTTTTTATGTCTGAGACCAAAACATGAAAATCTCTTAGGCTTGTTTTAACCCAACACCTTATTTCAGACGTTGAAAAACAATGTTGACTTAGAGAGGATCGAACCGGAAGTTGAAAAATGCTAAGTTATTTCCGGGTTTTAGGACTTGTTTCTGCCCAACTCTATTACCCTAAAAGTCCAACAGCAAGATGGCCTGCAGCTTTGTATATCGTGAAGTTCTCGCCAACAATTGAAATCAAGTCTGAGATTAACTAGTTGTATTACATTTAGTAGTTGCATTGTGTTGATCTGAATGATTCCTGAAAGGTCACAATATATTTAATAAATACTATGTAGCAGCAAAGGTCACTTTAAAAAAAATAATGTATTACTCAGATCTTATGTTGAACTTCTGTTTTTTAGGAGTCTGCAGTAACATCTTAGACTCTGAAGATGATGAAATTGAAAACCTGTATGCAGAGTTTTTGGTAGGTGTTTTACTCCAGTAGTGTGTTTCGTTCATCTTTCTTACTCAAATATGTTGCAGTGATGTTACTAACCTGCTCACTTTCTTGATTCCTGAACAGATCAACTGGGATCAGAAAGAGGTTGACCTTGATCCCCCAAAATCCTGAAAAGCCAGTGACAGCTCAAAATAGGTAAGACTTTTAGAATATTAACATTTTCAGTTGTGTATGTGACAAGCACCCAGTTTGGCTCGGTTTCAGATAAAATATTGATTGACTTGAAACTTTAATCTGCTGAACAGGAACGAGTTTGTGGATGCCTACGTGAATCATGCCTTCAACACATCAGTGGAAGGTATGTTTCAGGAGTTCAAGCGGGGCTTCTTCATGGTGTGTGACCAGGATTTGGTGAAGCTGTTCCGGCCAGAAGAGCTGCAGCGAGTGCTCGTGGGCCAGGAGGTTCTATGACTGGGCAAAACTGAAACAGGTACTGTTCCAAACACAAGATCCTTTTGTTTTCTCTGCAACTGACTTACATTTTCTTTAGCTTGATTTTTATAAATCAAAGATTGTAACAGATTTGTCTTTTTAACCTGAATTTAGAACACAGTTTGGGATCTACTACTAGGCTACGACACCATTCAGATGTTTTGGGAAGTGTTTGAGGAACTGACAGAAGACCAGAAGAAAGATTTCCTGTGTAAGTATTGCAAAAGTACCTACAGTAATGAAATCGAAACCTAATGTAAGCAGCCTATCAATTAATATCCCGAATCATGTCAGTTGGTATAGGTATTAATATTATTGTTATTAATCACTCATCCATTCAAATAAATACATATAAGGCCGACACAATTAACCTGAAGATTCCTATTTTCTACCCGGGTGTTCCTCAGGGTTCCTGACTGGTTTTAGGGGTGTTCCCATTTTTGGCATGGACGAGGTCAAGATGAAGATTCAACTCATTCAAATCCAGAGCGGTCAGACCTACGATCAGCACTTCCCTGGGTCTCTGACCTGTCACTCTATTCTGACCCTGCCCATATACTCTTCCAAGGAGATCATGAGAGACAGGCTGACGGAGGCCCTGCTGACGGTGAAAGGATTCTCCGAGTGATGCTGGAGGCACAACTGTGCTGGGAAGGGCGAGACTGATTTTTTAATTTTGGGATACCTTGTTTGTGCTACTTCAGGATTAAATTAAAAGCACTGTGCTATATGCACATGAACTTTGAAAAAGCTAACTAAAGAGCTGCATCATTCATTCCTAGCAGCACTAAGCTGTAGCAACATAAAGAAAGCACTTCACGATTCAATGTGTTTTATCAGTTTTGATTGAACAACATGCTGATTTTAACTTATAATTTAAGCTTTTTATATTTATATCATGAGTTTTACTTCTCAGGAACCCTAACCCTAACCATTTGTATGGTTTTATGTGTATTTATTTCTTACAAAATCCACTAGATACAAAATCCAATACACTATATATACATTTTATAAAAATCTTGCAAAAGTATAGTATGGGTGATTATGTGTCAGAGAAGTAGCACGTGTAACTGTATGGTAAATGAAGTTTGTTTTTGGTTTGTGTCTTGTTTATTTGGGTTAGAGAAAAAAATATGGGTTTTGGGAGAATGCTCAACCTTTGTTTTGGATATTTATGTTGCACTTTATTCCTGCTAGGGGCCATTATATTTGTTTGTTTTGACTCTACTGTATGTTTTTATTTGTATCTCGTACCAGGTAACCTTGGTTAATAAACAAACATGCCATCAGAGACAGCAAGTATCAAAATGTATGAATTTATCACATGTAAAACTTGAATTTGAAAAAGAAAGAATAATACAAAATATATATTCTTCTATGTGTTTTTTGTGCAAAATCTGTAACTAGCTTTTTCTGGACCAGCATGTGTAAGCGAAGTTTATGCCACTTTAGTAAAAATGAATGGATAGATTTACTCCTCCCAATATGTCTGTGTATTAATTGATATGAGGTCAGTCCTGGTTTACTTCAAAGTGGTACCACACACTGCAAACCTTACAAAAAATACCTTTGACATAGAAATGCAATTGAATGCTATAAATTCAGCAGATCATATGTGCTGCCAAACTTCTTGGCTATTATAACTGTAAAAGTGATAACATTAAAACAGAAGGTAATTAAGTATTGGTAAAAATAGAATTGCCAAAAGAACATAAATACTATTAATAAGGACAGCAGCAAAAAAATATTGATACAATGGAAATCTAAGCACCCACCTTCATTAAAAAGGTAGAGAGAAAATATGATATGTCATGTTGCACCAAAGAAAAAATTATGTACAAGGGCAACGTAAGTAAATGTTTGTACTTGTAGATTGTAATTGAATGCATAGTTTATTTTACAAATATTTTAAACAAGATATTCTGTGCTGACATCTTAAATGATGAGCCTATTGTTTAGACTTGTGTTAAAGCTGTTCACATGGTGTAACATGTACGAGTCCAAGACTGCTTTAGTTGTTGAAAATTGTCAGTCAGATGCCACAAAACTGATGGTTAAAGGTGCCATGTCATGGCCATTTCTACTGATCATAATTCCATTGTTGAGGTATACTAAAATAGATTTATACTGTGCAATTTTCCAAGCTCACTAAGTGTGGCTTGATATTGAATAAGAAAAAGGTTTATAACGCTGTGAGAAGGGTCTGCGGAGAGCATTTCTCCGCGATCCCAACGTAGTAGCCCGAAAAACCTTACCCATTTAAACAGTCGTGATAGATACCTTGTTTGTTTTAAACATCATAAATACACAAACAACAATGAATACTTACAGGTTGTGTACCCGAATCTCCCGCTGGTCCAAACAAAGTAGGAACAGCATCGTTCTTCAGTGCCCTACGCTGTACATATCCGGCATGAATCGCTGAAAGGTTTGGGAAGCTTTGTTTTTCGTGAAATGCTGGCAGAGGGTGTGGCCTCTGGGTATCCCCACGTCACAGTACCCAGGAAGAAAATTAGAAATCTCCAACGAGGTGTTTTGGGGAGGTCTTTTCTGTGTTAGAGTTTTACTCGCTACAGGGTGTACTTTGAGGGTTTTTTACTCTGCAGACCGTTTACATGGATAAAAACCTTCATAACACACAAGGGGACGGGTAATAACCGGAAAAAGCATGACATGGGACAACAAGCCCATTGCTTAAATCAGTCAAAACGGTCTCAAAGGTTTTAAGGCAAAAAATGTTTTGAGTCGGGTACCTTATTTTATTTTGATAATGTGAACAACTGGGCATTTGTTTAACTAAGCTCAATTTAGTGGACTTCTTTGCTTGCATTATGAAGTTTAAAAAAATATATAATTTCTTATACCTAACCATATCCGTTTTTCTCTGTAGTGTGGTGGTTTGCAGGTATAGATCGGCAATACAGTTTTAAGAAAGTAATCTAGAAAGAGAAAATAGGGAAGGTAGAAAGAAAGGACCACTAGATGGCCCCATTATTCTGCAGCTTGCCTGAGATGAAACAAAGAGCTCTGGGATGAGATCATCCACTAGTGCAGACTTTTCAAAATAACAATTTGGAATCTCTAAATCCTGCAAACAACAACAAAAATACATTAAATGCAATTCAAAAATGTAAATGTTGGTGTGTGGCCATGAGGCCGAAAAACAGATAAAAATAATTAGGCTTGAAATCAAACCAGTTCATACACCAAAACCTCGATGAGGTCACTATAATATATTCTATTTGGCACACTGTTGCTCCCTATAGGGATAGTACAGGAATGCTATGTGACTTTCCATTAGTACACTCCAATTTCAAAGGCAGATAGGGGTATAAATAGAAACTATTTTTGTTTAGGTCCTCATTTCCGCTGTGGCCCTAAAGTCATTATAAAAGAAGCATCTCAGGAATGTACGTTATTATGTATGTTATGGGACATCTCATTGTCTATCCCTGCTATTCAGAGGAAAATGCACATTAGTCAGTGAGTTATATAATTTCTTGGACTTCCGAAAGCTTTCATTCACTCATTTTCCTCTCTTCACTGCGCACGAGGCGCGCGGGCCCGCTCGCTGCTGCTGCGCCGCGGGAGCGAGAAGGAATGTAGTGACGTCAAAAGCAAGCTGTACACACGGGCGCGCGCACGATATGTACCGTCCCACTCTTGTGTTTCTGCGGAGCGGGCGCGCGGACAGAGCTAGAGACTCTTCAATGAATTGAGGCAGGCAGTCATGAGAAAAGTATGACTGCGAACATGGAGTATTATGAAAGGACACGGTAGGGCGGCGCTGTCTTCTTCTACGTTTAAATTCAAGCGACACCGAGTGTGAGTGACAGAAATACCCGTGGCTCGCGGCTACGGGATAATTTGCACAACAATGGTAAGTTGGCACCGAGGTGTTTTTCATAACGGCAATATCTCGTCCCAACAGCGGCGTTATTACTGTGGTGCGTTCAATGTCAGCGAGGTTTGTTTGGAGGGTGTTGAGCAGTAGCCAGGAAAAAGACTACATGCGTATGTGCCAACTCTTGACTGCAGTTGAGGCCAAGTAGAGAACAGCTGGCCTTAGCACAAGTGAAGCAGCCCTTAGGCAAGATCATGCAGTGTTGTGAATCTGATAAAAGTGTACAGCCAAGGATATGAGAGCATATTGACACGGTGAGGCCTGAGGTCTGTATACTTGGCCCAGTAGAGCTGTGAGAGGGGATTTAAACATGTGGGGAAAAGCCTGCTGTTGTCTTTAATGGAAAGTGATGCTGTCATATAGTGATACATAATTGATGATAAACTATTGGACAGTGATGATGAGGACAATTAGGATAAAGAAAACAGCAGTGAAGTTGACAGTGGTAATTGTATCGATCACCATGGTAATGAAGATGATGATGAACTTGTTACCCTGGGGAAGATCTGGTGATGACATCATCAGGTCTAATGCCACCTTCTGACCCTCTTAGCCAAACTAATGACACACACACTCTCGTGCACACACACACACACATGCATACATACATTACGGTTTCCTGTTACAGTATTGATTCGGCGTGCCATTTGTGCTGGATGGTTGTTATTTGAGAAACACAGGCCTTCAACATTACACACAATAAAATAATGTTTTACCCTATACTGGTGGTCATTGTGTGCTTCAGGTATAATTAGATACAATCTAGACTTCACTGCTTTATTTTAAACCTGGCTTCTCTGCCTTTGTTAAAATATGGTAATTTTCAATCATGCCTAGTACTTGAAGGGATGAGGCTTTTAGCAGCATCTGACCTCATCTAAGGCCCTTTTCCCTTCGGGCCAAGGCCAAAAACCTCAACACTGTAATTTTATCTCATTGTGTTGTCTTTTTTCTGTCCTTCTAGGCAACTCCCTACCAGTGAGGAACTTTGCTGCCCTGCCCCCCTTCCTCCCTCCGTCCCCGACACCTTGACACAACTATTTCCCGTCTCCTACTTCCTCTTATCTTCTCCCCTTCCTCCTGAATTCCTCCTGTGCTACTCCTCAAATCCCTTCTTGGTTTCAACATGGACTCCTCTGGACAAGTAACCACCTCAGCTCCTGATGGGACATATCGAGCCCAGGAGCAGCCCCGGTCGCTCGGATCTCAGCGGACTCTACTCTCTGGGTCGCACGTTGGGCAGGGGCCACTTTGCTGTGGTCAAACTGGCTCGTCATGTCAACACGAGGCAACTGGTTGCTGTCAAGATGATTGACAAGACAAAACTTGACGTTATGGCAACAAGCCACCTCTTACAGGAAGTGAGGTAAACCATACTAATTTAAAACTGAATAGAGTGGTGCAGGAATGAGTCATAAAACCCAGAAAGTCCTGAAGCAATGTTTTTTTGAATAAGTCGTTAGTGGTTAACACTTAAGTTAAGCTTAAGAGATGTTCCCACTTTGTTCTACGACAGTTTCATAGAAACAGCGGTTGCTAACAAGTGACCTAATTAGATAGCTAATGTTAGCTTCTTACTTCCGGCAATTGCATTTACGCTTCTAAAATCATTGAATTGGTTAAATACGTTGAGATTACCGTGCTGAACATAATGTGTAAGTATTATAAACGCAATTTCTTATTTTCTCTGCAATATTTAGAAATCAAATGGAATTATCAGCTGCACAACTATTAAAAGTTAATATTCCTAGTTTGGATTACGCTGACAACTATCTTACATTTAGCATAATTCTTTTTTAGGTGCATGAGACTAGTGCAGCATCCCAACGTGGTTCGCCTCTACGATGTCATCGACACGCCCAGCACCCCTCTTCCTCATCATGGAGCTAGCTGAGGGGGGCGACCTCTACGACTACATCCTCCGCCACGAGGGAGGCGTAGCTGAAGGCAATGCCAAGCGCCATTTTGCCCAGATTGTGCGTGCTGTGGCGTACTGCCACCAGCTGCACGTGGTTGCACCGGGACCTGAAGCCGGAGAATGTGGTGTTCTTTCCCCAGCAGGGGGCGGTGAAGCTAACGGACTTTGGGTTCAGCAACTTATTCCAACCAGGGACAATGTTGGCCACTAGCTGTGGGTCGCTAGCGTATTCTGCTCCAGAGATTCTGCTGGGGGAAGAGTATGATGCTCCAGCAGTTGGTGAGTAACAGCAAATGGTTCATTTCTTATTTATTTTTGCAAGTGTTGAAAACTGGTCTAGATTGGTGAATCGTACGGTGGCCGACCCGTGCAAATGTGTTAGATAAGGAAAAAACGTGCTGCCCTTTCCAAAACGATGTAAATAGAACACATGCAAATGAGGAAAACGCTTTAACCAACTTGACAAAACATGTGCTTAGTTCTACAAGCGCTGCATAAACAAAACGCTGCAAACAAAAAAAAAACACTGCAAGAATCTCAAAACACAACCTAAACTTGGACACTATAAAGTGACGCACACAGCTGGGACCGGAGCACTTGTTCACTTTCAGGAATTCAAATGACTAGGTTAGCTACGTTAGATAGCTAGCTTACAGCAGATCTGCAATAATATCGGAATATATCATGCCAACACATTGTTGAAATAACTTGACAGTGACTGTTGGCCAAATGTATAATCCCTGAACATGAACAAGTGCTCTAGTCCCAGCTCTGCGCATCACTTTTAAATGTCCCCTGGTTTACGTTGTGTTTTGAGTACTTTGAGTAAAAGCTGCGCATGTTTGTCAAGTTGGTGAAGATGTTTCTTCATTTAAATGTGTTTCGGCACATTAGTGTTTTTATATTTGCATCGTTTTCCCAATGGAAGTGTTTTGGGCCGCTACCAACGCAATTTTACCTTTGATGAATGATGTACATGACAAAAGGAACAAACTGTAGACATGTAGACGCATGCACAAATGACAAGGGGTCACTCAAAGGCTAAAAGGCTGAGAACCACTGGCCTAGATAAGCAAGTATGTGCAGGGTTCTAGTTACACAAAGTTCTTGCGCTGCTTGATGCTATATAACACACTCATGTATATTCAAATCATAGCCAGGGGCTGCAACATCTTACTCATTTGGTTCTGAGATCAGCCGAAGTAGGGATCAAAATCTGTCTGAATGTAAAACCTTAATTAAGGGGAGTAAATCCACTTCAGCTCAACCGATGTAATTCAATTATTTTCCAGCATGAACTGAGCAGCCTTACCTCGATAGTAGCTGTTCTAGAACTTTCTAATAATCCCCAAATCCTCATCTGCACACTCATTTTGGAATTGCAGATACTTTTTGTATGATTTTTTTTTTTACTAAGACCATTAAGAACTTGACCTCAGTGTGTGCATTTGAGTTCATCACTTTCTATGTGTGTGGTCACCTTAGCCCTGTGTGTCTACTCCTGTGTATTTGTATTGTTTCTCAATCTGTGTGTTGCAGCTCTGTGCACCCTTCCATATTTGAATGCTTGTTTTTGATCATGCCTGTGTGTATATATGGATCTGTTTTGTTTGTAATTGTGTGTGCATGTCCATAAAGGATTAGTGTGTGTATCTGGGTCAGTCTGAGCCAGCCAGCCAGCCATCCATGAGCCAAACGGGCACGTTCTGCAGTGGAACCGAACACTGCAGCTCACCACTGGACTCTCACACTGCATAGCAAGCATTTTGTGAAAGTGTGTGTGGAGAAAAAGACAGAGATAGATAGCCGAAAGAGAAAGTACTATTTATCAATGTTTGTCTATAGCAGAAAGGTTGGTGTGCAATGCTGGGATATGTGTGATATCAGAGGTACGGCAGGCCAATTGATAGCAGACACTATAGGGACAGGAGGTCAATGTGGTCCCATGTCTCCTGGGGGAGGACACACAGCATGCCCATTTCAGGGAGGTTGGCGATTTTATCAGCTAAACTGGACCACGATGGATTTTGGCAGGGCTTGGGTGCTATTTCTTCTAGTGACTACAAAAGCTTCTGCACTGAATGCTAATGTATCCCAACGGCAATTAGTGAGATGAGTCTAGCTGCAGAGCTACAGAAGGAAGTGATGTACGATATTTGTACACCAGTGACATTCAGCAGGATAGAGCAAGGTTTTATTCACGACCTCCACCAATAAGATTAGGTAAACAAAACAACATCTTGTTATAACTGTAACTTATAAAAATAGGTACATTTAATATTTAACATCAAGTAACTTGACCTTATGAGTTAGCTTATGTAAGCTAGCTTTGCTTTATGTAATTGGCAATGATAAATGGAATTTAAACAGCGCCTTACTAGTCTTCTGAAACACTACATGTCAATTGCTTTTACCCATTCACACACACCACACACACACACCACACCACACACACACACACACACACACACACACACACACACACACCACACACACACACACACACACACACACACACACACACACATTTATAAACAGATAGAAGGGCTGCAAGGAATAATGGTCATTTACAAACGCACTCACACATAAATGTCGAATCCTGAAATTGGTGAATGACCCAATCAACCTCCTGAGCCACAGCCGCCCCCAAACCAACGTAAATGTTAGCGGATTACTTTTTGAAGTTGTTGTTTGGCGACATCAACGCTAGTTTGATAACATCAATAACAAAACTAGCTAGCTAAAGTGAGCTAATGTGCTCTAAAGTACAAGTTCTTTTTCACTTAATATTACGATACCAAACTTTACTTTAAGTTACGGTTATATCAAAATATCAAGCTTGTATTGCAAACCTCGGTCGTGTGTGACATGGACTTCACAGTATGAATGTCAAATATGTATTTGGGGGCGACGTGGTGCAGGGGCATCTACAGATCAGAAGCCCCTGCAGTCAGCAAGTCAAATGTCTTGACCCTAAACATTGCTCCCAGATGTCTATGGCAGGGGTTCCCAAAGTGGGGGGTCGCGAGATGATTACAAATTAAACATTAAAAACAAATTAAATAAATTGTATCCAATTTTTATTTTTTATTATTAATAATAACGTGTGCATAGACATTTTGCAGGGACGGACTGGCCATCTGTAGAATTTCCCCGCAGCGAGGCTCCCCCGTTGACAAATCACTAGCACCAGTCCCCTGGCACTGTTATTTTGGGGGTCGCGGGCTGAAAAGTTTGGGAACCCCTGGGTCTATGGTATCAAGGTTATGTAAGTTGCTTTGGATAAATGCTTTAGCTAATGACATGTAACGTTGTGTAAAATATATGCTCAGTGGTATACATAATATATTAACATTGAGCATGATAAAATACACTGCGCAGTACAATGCAGTGGCATGTAAACATTATTTATAGATAAAGAAGCATGATAAACATGTGATTTCCACCTTAACACGTGACATTTTAACATGAGTTCCAGTGCCTATAGGCCCAAGCGTGGAGCTCTGCAACGAGACGCTATGGCACTAAGGATCTACTCTACTGCATTTGTTTTACTGCCTACTTGCAAAGATGTGAAATGTTTTATGTCAAAACCAGGGAAGGTGTTATTCAAAGTTTTACAAATGTTTAGTTTTCTCTTTTATTTTCCTACAATGAGTGTTGCTCCCTTATTATTTTAGTCTGGGTGGGGCAGAGTGCAACTAAAGAAACCTTCCTCACATGCATCCATAACTTTAACATGACTTAACTGTTGCGTTAGTTCCTTTTTTTATGTTCCCGTTTTTAAATCTCTTGCATGAATCCGTGTTCATTATTACATCATCCAAGACATTTGGTTTCTGCTTCACCTTAACTCGCGTGCAATTTTTCTGTTCTATTTCAACATAGATTCAACCTGTGGATATGACGATTACATAATGATTTAAGAAGAATGCACCCAGCAACCACACACAAACACTCATGAATATGTGTGGTGATAATCATGAGCTGCACAGAGACAGAGATGTCCTTAGTGATCTCAGCTTAGAAAGGGTGACTCATACACCCTCTCTCTCTCTCCACACTCACACACAAACTGTTCTGTGTGCCGCTTGATATTTCTGTATAGCTGTTTCACACCGTCGCTGCTTCACGAGTCTTTGCCGTAGCTGTGTGTATGTGTGTGTGTGTGTGTGTGTGTGTGTGTGTGTGTGTGTGTGTGGTGTGTGTGTGTGTGTTTGGTGTTGTTGTGGTGTGTGTTGTGTGTGTGTGTGTGTGTGTGTTGGTGTGATGGTGTGTTGGTGTGTGTGGTGGTGGGTGTGTGTGTGTGTGTGTGTGTGTGTGTGTGTGTGTGTGTGTGTGTGTGTGTGTGTGTGTGTTTGGGTGGTCTCCATGATTGTGGAGGAGAGACACCAGGGTGAATTCCAGTAGGTATTTGACAAAGATAAAACACTGCCACTACAGTTACATAACAGCTTGCCCTTTACTGTGAGCACACGTGGTTTTTGAGTGCTAATGTAGGGCTTCACGTTAGCTTCACAGAATTTAAGTCTGAGGAATGTGGTGTTGTACATGCTTGCCTGCTGATGATGCATGTTTGTGTTTTCCTTATTCTTGGCCAAATGCCCTTTTATGTGATTAAAAAAAGAAGAAAGGAACTCGGTCAACATGGTTTATCCAGAAATTATACTTTGGATGTGCTCTGACTGAAAACAATCTAAATATGACAATGTTTGCTGAGTTATGACAGAGAAGTGTGTGGCAATAAAGTTTCATAAAGTTTCAGATAAGAAGGGAGGCGGACCGCAATTAGTTATCTGTGTTCTGAGCAGGAGGAAGTTCTGCATTTGGCAGATACTGAAGCCTCCCAGGGTGTTAGCCCATTTTTTACTGCAGCTATGAGGTGTAAATAGAATGTGAATTAAGCATATTATAATAGGAATATTTTTAATAAATGTAGCCTTTCACATTTCTTTTGGTAAATGATATACTGTCCCTAAAATAATTGCGAATAATTTGGAACACAAATATTTTTGTCTTATTTTAGGACCAATTTATGGCACAAATATAATGCATAATATAACATCAGAGTTATAAATCCTTTATGCATCGCACAGCCGGGACATTTATATCATTGCAGCATTAAAGGGGACGGTGCAGATAATAAAATTGGTAGACTAAAATATTAAACGAGGCATTTGTTAATTTAAAAAAAATCAAATATGTACTAATCCAAGGTATTTATATAAGTTGCAGCATTATAGGAGTGAGTAAACATTTAAAAAAACAGTGAACTAGCA